TATTTTTTGGCTGTGCTGGGTCTTCATTGCAGTGCATGGGCTTTCTCGAGCTGAGGGGAGCAGGGAGCACTCTCTAGTTGTGGTGTGGTGGCCTCTCTTATCGTAGAGCATGAGCTCTAGGACGCGTGGGCTTCAGTAGTTGCAGCTCCCAGGTTCTAGAGCACAGGCTCAACAGTTGGGGCATCCAGGCTTAACTGGCATGTGGAATCTTCGCAGGTAAGGGATCAAACCTGTGTCCCCTACATTGGCAGGAGGATTCTTAACCACTGGACGACCAGGGAAGTCCTTAAATATTTATTTTTGTCAGCTTGGGTCTCAGTTGTGGCATGCAGGCTTAGTTGCCCTGCAGTATACGGGATCTTAGTTCCTTGACCAGGAATCAAATCCTCAGCCCTTGCATTGGAAGGCAGATTCTTTACCACTGGACCACCAGGGAAGTCCTTATGTTAGTTTTGATGTTCTCAGACTTAAAAGAATCCATTAAAAAAGGAGGCAATGAAATTTAACCAAGATTTAATCCTTCATTTCACCTCATGTGTCTGATACTACTTTTCAATACAATCTTTTAAAAATCATTTTTCAAGCAATCTTTTAATTACACATACAAATAATAATATATACAGGATACATGAAAACACTAGTTACACTAAAGCTACATGAATGAACAGCTTTAATTTGGAAAAGAAAAATTCCCAGACAGCATCACACACAGAATGGATGTGAAGATGCTATTCCTTATAAAACTCTGTTCCACTTTGAAAGTACTTTGATGACAAAGACATTAAAATAAAAAATGCAGGAAGGGGGACTTCCCTGGTAGTCCAGTGGTTAAGACATAGCCTTCCAATGCAAGGGTTGCAAGGTTGGTCTCTGGTCATGGAGCTAATATCCTACCTGCCTCATGGCCAAAACACCAAAACATAAAACAGAAGCAATATTGCAACAAATTCACTAAAGACTTTAAAAAATGGTCCATATTAAAAAAAAAATATTTTAAAAAAACTGTATCAAGTATTCAGAATAAAACTTAGTTCATGAATGGGGGTGCTGGGTGAGCTCAGCAACTCTAAGTCAATATTTTATATCATGTGATTTTAAATGTTTGTTAAACTCTTTTAAGAAGAGACATGACTATTTCATCCATATTCCTAAAGCTCATAAATTCAAATAGGCCTAAAAATATTGGAGAAAGTCTCCTTGGGAAAGAGGGGGATGACTCTCCATTAGATGTGCCTCCATGTGGAGTAACAGGCTACGTCCATATAAGAAGCAGAAAAGAGGCAATAGAGGTTGGCTTGCAGGGGACTTAGGAGTACACGAATATTCAGAACAGGGAAGTGGAGGGACTTCCCTAGAGGTCCAGTGGTTAAGATGCTGCACATCTACCGCAGGGGGCTTGGATTCCATCCCTGGTGGGGGAACTAGATCCCACATGCCACACAGTGCAGCCAAAAAATAAATAAAATTATATTAAAAAAACAACACAGTGGACAAAGGAACATTAATTCAGTTTGTTTGTGATAGAGGTAGCAACACAAATATTTCGAAGAGGAAAACGTCCCATAAAGGGGAGATATTTCACTTTTCCCCAGTTCAACAAATGGGACACCTGCTGATCAGGAGGAAGGAGACAGTGACAGTACTCACGACAGGGCACACAGAGCATCGAGGACTCCCGCTCGATGCGTGGACAGCCTGCAGCTGGCCGGGAACTATCCCAGTTACCAGTACCCTACTCTATCAAGAGTCAACTCTTTGCTGCCAGTTGTTGTTTAAAATTTCTTTCCTTTTATTGTTTCCTGTCACACAGACACACACATACATATATTTATATAGATAGAAAAAAGAACTAGAACATTTTACGAAGAATAATTTTGTTCCATTTACATAAAAGGACTAAACTAGTCCATACTTTACTTTTAATAGGAAAGATGAAGCTCCTTTAACTGGAGCTGTTTTCCTCCCAAGTTACAGAATCGATGATTCAACAAATGAGAGTTATGACTCCAGACAAATCATTTCACTTAGAAATATTTTGCCTAAATTCCAGCAACTCACTGATCATAAGGTTAAACTAGTTTAAATATGGTATATGGGCAAAGCAGCTTCTGTACCTGTTAAAAGTTAAATGAGTAAAAGTCTCATGTCCTGTCACTGCCCCCATCGCTATGACAAATGAGCATGACTGAATGAGATGCTCTATAAGAACAGTCCTTCCCAGTGGCAAAAGTAAAGTTTAACTTCATGAACATTAATGTCTTATTAAGAGAGGGGCCAATCGGAAAACTCAGGTGTGTCAGATGAAGATAAAAATAAGCACTTTTCCCTAGTCCGAGAAGCAGGTGGGGAATGAACAGTGCCAAAAGGGTGTATGGGTTGTTTGCCTTTTTGTGGTCGAGTTGTTTCAGTTGTTTGTATAGAGTTTGAGTTGTTTGGAAATTAGGCCCTTGTCGGTCACATTGTTTGCAAATATCTTCTCCCATTCTGTCAGTTGTCTTTTCATTTTGTTTATGGTTTCCTTTGCCGTCCGAAAGCTTGTAAGTTTGATTAGGCCCCATTTGTTTATTTTTGGTTTTGTTTCTACTGCCTTGGGACACTGACCTAAGAAGACGTTGCTATGATCTGTGTCAGAGAATGTTTTCGCTTATGATCTCTTCTAGGAGTTTTACGACGATAGGCCTTATGTTAAAGTTAAACATAAAGGTCTTATGTTTTGAGTTAAACTCAAAAGCCATTTTGAGTTTATTTTTGTGTATGGTGAGAGGGCATGTTCCAATCTCACTGATTTACATGGGGCTGTCCAGCTTTCCTAGCACCACTTGAAGAGACTGTCTGTTTCCGAATGCATATTCTTGACTCCTTTGTTGAAGATTAACTGACCGCAGTAATTAACCCAACTTTGTAATTCAACAATACTTTTAACAAAATAAATAAATGGGGGAGGGGAAGGTGTGAATGGAGTCACCTACCGAAAGGTGGGAGGTCCTTTACGGGAACTTTCTTTCGTGAAGGGTAGAGGGACACGGCGGGAACCTGCAGTCCCTGGTTGAGTTTGTGCGGCGGTTGTGGCGGCGGCGGCTGCGGCTGCGCTTTCGGCTGCAGCCCCGCTCTCGGGGCCACTGGGGAGGTCTCCGACTTGACAGGCTTTTTGTCACTGGGATTCTTAGGCACTGGTAATTGTTTGGTTTGAAAATAGAACATGAAGTTGAAGAGGTTAGTGGCCACATGTGAGATAATTATAGAACTGCATGAGCGCTTTCTGCAGTTAGAATACAGAAATGTGTATCTTTCCGGTTCCCCATAAAAAGGATAGAAACAAGGGCAGGGGGAGAACGTTTGTTACAGGAAAAAAAGCACAACAGGACAAGATTCACTTTATGAAGCTAGCCATCTCAAAATACTTATACTATTAAGTACCACATTAAAAAAAAAGTGTGGATCATTTAATATGCTATAAGTATGTCTATAAAAAACCCAAATATAAAACCGTAAAAGGAAAATTGTTAGAAATTATTTTCCTAAAATGGTACCCCAAATTTCATAATATATTTTCAGTTAACAGATAATATTAGCTACAATCTTTTTACTACCAAATTCTCTCTCCTATGGGTTAGAATGATCTATGTTGCTAACAGCACTCAGTACTGCTTGAGTATTATACTGAGTGTATGATTCCACGGCAGATAGAAGGCAAGCCAATTTAACAGGGCAATCAAATGCTATATTTAAAGTGTATTAATATTTAAGACAACTCAATGACATATTTGACTTCCTCCATTTTACACATAAAGGAGCTTAAATAACCTGCCTAAGGTGACATTGTTAGGACAAGGAACAAACAGGATTTCAATTCAGACCAATCTGACTGATGCAGACAAGCTCTTCACCATGATACATGGTACTTTTATAGTACTTGGGTAAATTCACTAATAAAATAACCTGAATCTTCTCAATTATCTAACATTTAAACTCTGTAGAAGGTATCTTCAAACTTGCCCACTGTTGTTATGTAGTTGCTAAGTTGTGCCTGACTCTTTGTGACCTCATGGACTGCAGTCCACCAGGCTCCTCTGTCCATGGGATTCTCCAGGCAAGATTAGTGGAGTGGGTAACCATTTCCTCCACCAGGGGATCTTCCCAAACTACAGATCGAACCTGTGTCTCCTGCACTGACAGGTGGATTCTTTATCACTGAGCTACCAGGGCAACCCTAAAAGATCCCAAAGTGTCCTAAATGGAAAATGCCTCCATCTTACAAATACAAATGCCAAGAGAAAGAAAGCAGCCCCCATTTCTGACCAGGCCAGATCTATGCACTAGGCTGAGGTATGATTCCCTGTGGAGCAGAATTCCTGCCTTACATGGCAGCTGAACTGACTGCTGGGTGCTTTCTGGGCTAAGGGGTAAGAGGCAGCTAGCACACCTTCTGTGCCCCTCCCAGGCTGCCCATCACTTTGCAGGTATCTTTGTGAGAAGACAAGGGATGGGAATGGGAGCTGCATCCGCCCATGCGTCCCTTGCCTGCACCCTGATGGCACTCGGATGAAACCAAATAAGTCAGTCACCCTGAAGTAGTCTATGGTGTTGTGGTCTCTACGCTAACCCCAGTGGACACGAGCCCAAGCCCAGGACTGCACTGTATGCTGTAATTACAGGAAAGGCTAACGTGTCTCAGGATGCTATGTGCCCCTGCACCCTGCCCTGCCGTGCTCCACAGGAAACCTATCTGCATTCCAGCCGGACCTGCAGCCACTTTAAGGAGAAACTCACGTGTGTTGGTAGCCGGCTCACACTGCAGGGATAGCGTCTGAAGACTTTCCTCATCCATCTCCAGCTCCAGATTGGACAGGTACTGCTTCACTTTGCGAGCCATCTGGGCATCTTCATATAGCTTTTTGGCATTGAGAAAGGAGCTACGACGCACCCGCTTTTTATGCCCACCTGTCTGAGCAACATCTAGCACGGTTGCATTTGTACTACCCTGGCTGAGCGACCTGGAAGATGAAAAGGCAGAGATACAGCTCGCTCCAGCACAGGGTCACTATACCCACAGGAGACGTGCCAAGACTTCTCTAACAGTCTAGTTCAAGAGGCCATATGCCTCATTCTGGTAAGTAAACTGTCAAAAAGGGATATAGAATCATATCATGTTCATATAGATTAACACATAATATATAGGTTAAAATGATTTTTTTCAAATTAAAAAGAATTCTACATACACTATAGGTATACATACAAGTTTGGTACTTGTTCTGTTCGAACTAAAAATTCTACTTTTTTGCCTCTAAAAGCATCCAAGGCAGTTCTCTTGCAGAAGCCAGCAATTAATAATTATTATATATAAAAGCTCATGCAAGAATACACAGTTACAATAATTAACAGTGACATTAAATTTATTTCTCCTAAAGGGGATGTCTTATATAGATTTAAAGAAATTTACCCACAATGTTCACAATTGTTTTCTTATTGCTTGGGTTAAGTGTAGTGAGTTTTTCGAGTAATATGGTCAATTTGTTAATAAAATGGTCATGCAAATGTAAACACACATGTACAGGAACTAGCATATGAGTTGTTAAGAATTATTTTTGAAAAGGACTGGTTTATAGAATGAAAACAGTAGTTAGTTGAGCTGTAAAAAATTTAGTTTTAACATGTAGGGGCACCTTCTGTATTACATAGATTCACTTCACAAAAATCTGTGCAACAGTATTTAAATTGCACAATTTTCCCTTCTAACATCCTCTCTCCCCTCACCCCAGGTTAGACTTTTCTCATTTCAAAACACACAAACTGTATTAAAATTAAATCTTTTTGAAAGCTCAGGAGTAAGGTGTGGCCTATGGTTCCCCATAACAGTCATCAATCATTTCACAGCTCTCATGGGTCATGACCTCAAAAGCAAAAGCCCCAGTAGATTAAACTTGAAGTCAGTTTGCCAACTGAAATTCTGCTAGAGCAAGAGGGTTAAGAAAAAAAAAAATGCAAAAATGCAAAGCATCAGGAAACACAGCGGGTAAGAAAAACACAATGCCATGAGCAGGATGAGAACTGTGTGGGTTTGCCGTGCCGCCACCACTTACCCCAGACTCCTCCACTTCTTCTTCCTGTAAGTGAGAGCCGTGGAGGTTGAAGCATGGGTGTAGAGAGAGACAGAGAGATCACAAGCTCAGAAAGAAAGGACCAGACTTCTGGATAAGCAGTACTAGAAGCCCACAAACCATAAACTGCATAATTGCCTCACGCACACACACAACTGGACCAGCAATAGCTTTCTGGCTCAAAAGACAAATAAAAGTGAATATTCTGTTGTAAAGACTTTTTGTTCTCTCCTTTGCTGGATTCATCATTTTTGGCTACACTGACAGCTCAATACATTGTGTGGATAGTGAGACAATACCACTTGGATCATTTATATATTTTAGTTCATACTATCAATTATGCCTTTTAGCTCTGCAAATCAGCATTCTGAAAAATAAGAATAGTTGTGTCTCATGGTCAATGAACAGTGTCTGAGGGACAAACTGTTTTCACTGATAGCCCAAAGTATACCAGATGTGGAATCAGACAATCATTCTGAATTACAGCTCAGTGGAGATTCTGTACACACCCTGATAAATCTCACCACAGACGGATGTATTCAAAACCTTCTCTCATTGATTAGGAAGCTCTAAGCTCAACCTTCTCTAGCCCCAGGAACACTACTGAGGGAGACACTCACCGAGTCCTGAACATGAGGGCAGGGTCCATGTTCACAGAGGCCATTCGGCCAACGTGACGGATTTCTTTTGCAATCATTCTTAGCTTCTCAAAATTGACCAGCCCGTCAACCTTGGAGTCATTCCCTGTAATTGGTAAAGAAGGAAAAGGGAATCACATGACATTCATCCTACACTTCCACCGGTGGAGACAGAAACCTTCCAGCTTATATATTTACCTTCGTGAAGGAACGTAAGATCCTTCTTGATCACTGGGAACAGGGGGATGATAGGAGGCTGCAGGTTCTGACTGTTGAGGACATTGCGGTATTTCGCCATGTTTCTGGAAGGATCAAACAGGTCTTGGAGATCTTGAAACAGCTTTTCGTATTTATTGGGAAGTTTCTCCCAGGTAGTTCGCAGTCTTGCCACTGGCGCCAGGTTTAGGCCACTGAGAGGGAAAAAAGAAGAGTGGTATAAAATTAAGTGACTTGTCCTGTCGAAGGACGGTAAGAATGTATTGCTTATTTATTAAAACAGAACACTTCTGCGTGCATGCTGTGTATACACAGGAATGTACAGGATTCGAAGGGCTATTAATAATTCTGGGTAATGAGGACTGAAGATGCACGCAGGGGCGGGCCCTTGGAGTTCTCTTCTTTTCCCCTTTATAGCCTCTGGTCTATTTACTGTAGGCAGAACTACTATAGTGTCAAGTGTCACGAGGGCAGGGCTGTGTTTCACTGCTTGATCTCCGTACATAAAGTACTTGGCACCAAGCAGGCATTTGATAAAGCAGATTAACAAATATCCTGTGACACTGGGTCATTTGTAGAGACGTGGATGGACCTAGAGTCTGTCGTACAGAGTCAAGGAGGCCAGAAAGAGAAAAACAAGTATCAAATAATATTGCTTATATGTGGAATCTAGAAAAATGGTACAGGTAAGCCTAGTTCTAGGGCAGGAATAGAGATGCCGATTGTAGAGAACAAATGTATGGATACAAGAGGGAGGGGGATGAATTGGGAGATTAAGATTGACATATATTAATAAACACTACCATGTGTAAAATAGAGAGCTAGTGGGAAGCTGCTATATAACACAGGAAGCTCACCTCTGTGCTCTGTGATGACCTAGAGGGGTGGGATGGGGAAAGAGGGGAGGGAGGTTCAAGAGGGAGAGGATATATGTATACTTATGACTGACTCACTTTGTTGTACAAAAGTAACTAACACAATGTTGTAAAGCAATTGTACCCCAATAAAAATATGTGTGTGTGTGTATATATATATATCTCCCATGGTAATAATTTAAAAGCTATAAGAACAATAATAGTATAATCAAATTCTTAGAAAAAATGACTAATTTAACCATCGGCATCAATTTTGTTCATTGTTTCAATCTGTATTTTCTTCCAGCCTCTAAGCACTTAGAGGAGAAGAAAATTAACATTTACTAGGCATCCATCTGCCTTGTGCAACTGATGGGACTCTATACACATTATACCATTTAGGTTACTTGATAACTCTTTTGGGTCATTGTTATTTTATACAGAAATAAATTGACATTCAGAGAAATTCAAATAATTTGCCCCAAGTCACAGAGCTAAAAAAAAAAAAAAATGGCCAATACATATTTCCTGGGCTTTAAATCAGCATACAAGGTTTGTTTTTTTTTTAATTGAAGTACCGCTGATTTACAATGCTGTGTTAGTTTCAGGAGTATAGCACAGTGATTTGTCATATATATTTTTTATTAATACACTCACACACATACATATATATCTGTTCTTTTTTCAGATCTTTTCTGTTACAGGCTATTACAAAATACTGAGTATAGTTCCCTATGCTATACAGTAGGGCCTTGTTGTTTATCTACTTTAAATATGTTAATTGCTCAGTTGAGTCCAACTCTCTGTGACCCCATGGACTGTATGTACCCTGCCAGGCTCCTCTGTCCATAGGATTCTCCAGGCAAGAACAGTGGAATGGCTTGCCATTTCCTACTCCAGAGGATATTCCCAACCCAGGGATCAAACCCAGGTCTCCTGCATTGCAGGCAGATTCTTTACTGTTTGAACGATGCATCAGGGAAGCCCATTTTATATATAATAGTGTATATATTTTAAACCAAACTCCTAAATTATCCTTTCCTCACCTCTCTCCCATTTGCTAACCATAAGTTTATTTCGTACGTCTATGGGTCTATTTCTGTTTTGTAAATAAGTTCATTTACACACACACACACATATATATATTTAGATTGCACATATAAATGATACCATACGATATTTATCTTACTCTGTCTGATTTTACTTAGTATGATAATCTCTAGGTCCATCCATTATAAGAGACTTTAAATAAAGGGTTACAATTAGGATTCAGATAAAAAGAATTATTCCATGTGATGTAATTAAAAAACTACTACACTCCTACAATTTGTATGGCTTTCCTGGATTGATATATATTTTTTAACCTGCAAACCGAATCGACTCTTTATGATGAGCGTGCTCCCACCTGATGATTGCAAACATGGAGTTAAAATTCTTGCACTCCCTACAGTGCAGAGCTATCTTGATGAAATGCTTAATGATCTTCATCCTCTTCAGCTGGTTCATCTCCCGCAGAATCTCGGATGCTACCCAAAACGTCTCCTGGTTAATGACTTCCTCGAACGTCTTCAGGTTGGCACAGCTGGTTTTTGATCTGAGCTTGAACAAGTCATCAATGTACTCAGTGGGCTCGATGTTCCGGAAAAGCTCGAAGTTGCGCATGGAGAGCTGCGTGGCCACCTCCACGGTGCTGAGCTGCAGCAGGGAGATCTGGCCCTCCCGCAGCAGCTCCTGCGCGTCCTCGTCCGAGCAAAGCGTTTCCGTCTCCATGTTGTTTTTCAAGTAGTACCTGTGAGGGACACAGAGTCCAGAGCCTGAGCAGCAATCTCAAGGCATTCCTGGAAGAACGGCGCTGTCTACAGAACAGCAGTGAGGACGTGCCGCCGAATGATGTGGGGACTCTGCCTGGCAGACGGAGGAGGCAGCGGCTCCTCAGACAACAGACCACGGAACGCCACCCAGAAGCCACTGACAGAAGCAAACACGTCACACGGAACTGCATCTGCATCGCCTGCAATCTGTTTCCTACTACTCTTCCCTTCCTTCTAGATTATTTTCTCTCTCTTTTTTTGGCTAATAAGGACAGAAAATAGCTGAACTTAGATAATGGGTTTAAATAAAGAAATGGGATCCAAGGAAGGAAGAGGAAGAGATCCGACACACAGTGATCACTCTGTTTCCCTGGGGATTCTCTGTGACTTCTGGTCCACCCAAGTTCACCTATTTATTTAAATACCAAAGAAACCTGTAAGCCATTTCCCTCTATTTGATGCTACGAGGAGAATGATCCTAAGATGGATTTTGACTTTGGAATATCTGATTTTCACAAAAACCCTACACATAAGTGGGGTGCGTGTATTTCCTGCTTGTCAGATGAAGAAACAGGGGCTCAGAAAGATGAACACCAGCTGCAGAGAGAGAACTCAAGGTCCATGAGCCTTTTTCTCTGTCAGCAACTTGTCCAAAGAGAGTGAAGATGTTTACTCTGTGATTTTTTTTTTTAACTGATTTTATAGAAAGATGTTTTCTTAAGCCAGACTCCATAAAGGAAGAAACAGAAAGAGAATTGTGATCCTGTCAAACTGGCCTTCTGCATATTTCACCAAAGCTGACGTGACAGAAGACACAGACCTCAGGGCTTGACAGTAATAGATGTTCTCAACTTTGATTACTCACGAAGCCCATGATGTGAATCCATTTATAATTTTGTTGAGCAATGACTGTGAATCAGGACTCTGCACCTCAGTGGAGATTTGGAGAACTCCATCATGATCACAGACAGATCAATGATATTTAAATCCTAACGAGAAAAATGGACACTACCTACCAGAGTTGGGGCTGGTAATAAAGTGAAAGTGAAGAAGAGCAAGAAAGTTATAGCTGACAGCAAGAAAAAAGAAGTTCTGAATGAATTAAATCAGGTTTAGATGTTTAACACAAAAGGCAAGAACACAATGAAACACTTCATATGATGAGAAAAAAAGAAAAAATATGATTTATGAAAACACTCAATTTTCAGAAAGTGCAAAATCTAGTCATTATACAAAAAAGTCAAGGCATAATGACTTTTCCAACTTTCACTAATGTGTGGTTTGAATGGAAACACCATTTGAGAGGCTGACAAAATCCCATGCAATGTTTCCCTACAAATACAAGGCAGCAGAAGACCAAGCCCTGAGGCAACTCAGCTTTGGCTCCAGGGTTAAGAAGGATATTTCATTAGTGTCATGAACAATAATAGGCAGCTTTAGCCAACCACACTGTCACAGATATCTCTACCTAAACAAATGAAGCTCCTAGAAAAGTCAGGTAGGCAGAAACAAATGACACAGGAAGGTGGAAGGTGTATTGTGAATGTGCAACTCCCAGGAGAAGGGTGTGCCTTTCTGTCCTGATGGGATCATGAGCACTGCTGAGCAGCAAGGAACGGTCAGGTCACAGCGGCCTTGCTTTGCACAAGTTCCTAAAAGATCCTTGTGAGGGTCAACCATCTACAGTGCACATTCC